ATTTGGCTTGTACTGAAGTAGTCCTTGTAATTATATTCGGTATAATATTTACTCCTTACTCCTTAATGACGTTTACACAACATTTGAATCGAAATATAATTTCGACACACCCTTAATAAGTTACGAGTACTCCGTGTGTACCTAATAGTTGTAAATACTCGTACAAAAGAAATGAAATTGGGGGATATGAAAATTGATAAGTGGTCCACGTGTACATAAAAACTTGTCATTGACTCAATTGAATTGCCGCAAAATTAGAGGTAATGGAGGAGAGGGAGTTGAAAGATTATGCATGACGTCATCCCATGATCATGTAACCTCTCCCTCTTCCCAATGATCTTATAAACCTTCTCCCTCCTTCTCTAAAGTTGTCAGTAACTTCCTTTCTCACTCTATCTCCTGATTTTACAAATTTTTAAACTCTTTTTTATTCCAAAAATGGTGAAAATAAACAAGGGAAAGCAGTCTATGGTACTTTCACAACACGATGAGCCCAAATACTCGGAACTGCAATTCCTTCAGATGAGAAAGAAGATGTTAGTGGAGCTTCTGAATGACCATAAGTCCTTATCCAACGGCTTGCACAGTTAATTGGCCGAAGTTGAAACTTCCATTTCCAGCATTTACAAGGAAAAGACCCTGAACATTGAGCAATCGACACAATAGGAACAGAGCAAGAGGAAGAGAGCCCCCAGGGTCACAAAGTCAAAGGCTATCAAGAGGGTTGTTGTTGGGCAAGCAGGTTCTGGACAAGGAGGCACTGCAGGAGCCGTCGCTGGTGGAGCAAGTGGGCCTGGAGAGGAGGTTGAGGTGGTGGCACCAGTGGCACGAAGGCCAAGGCCGAGGCAGTGGCCAGTGAGGCAGAGGAAATCAAGCAGCCCCAGCATTGAAGTCCCCCCTGCTCCATATCACGTTCGTGATCACTAGTCAAAGGAGGTTTCTGGGCATGGATCCGGTGATTATGGTCATTCTGCGTCCACCATCGAAAAATTAGACTGAACAGGTTAATTGATCTAAGCCAATTATATTTGAATTTTGATGTTGTTTTTGGAACAAGGTTTAGCCTTTATGTATGTAGTTGACTTGGATTAATTATGATATGAATTTGTGTCTGATGGCGGTTTTTGAACAATTTAGTAGTCGTTTTGTATGGTATCTCTTTTGAAGAATTTCTTGTTTACTTTGAACGATTTCACCTTTGTTTTGTTGATGTTAAAATTAATTTCACATTTGAACAATTAATTTTTATGTTAAATATTAATTATTGTTTCGGGTGAAAACAATGGGACCTTGTCGAAGGTCCGATGAAGTGGAGAAGACTAGATTCGATCCAAGTAATGTTGGGCCGAAGGTTTCCTGCACAGTAAACACACGTAAACTAGCCTCGGGGGTGTTGTCGAGGAAGGCTCCTCCGATGCTAAAGTCAGTACAGTGTGTAGAAAGAGAACACTACGCAAGATAATTAATTGCTTGAGGCTTTGCTTCAATGGATGTACAAATGTAATATTGATGGTTTTTATACCTCTCCATACATGGAGAAGTTAGGCCTTAGCCCAATTGACTTGCCTTGAGGACTGATCTTTGACTTTAGCACAATTGGAGAGATGAACCTTGACCTTGGGCTTTTAATTGGATCATTTAATGCCTAGGCCCAATTAGACTAAATTGGACCCAAACAATTATTAAGCTCAATTTCTTGCTTATTTGGTTCGTTCTATTTTAAATAAGTATGCTATATTTTCTGATTTATGATGTTTGTGTGTTATGGGATTAAATTGTTAATGTGAATTATGATCAGAGTTATTATATTAATGTTTTGACCCGTGTTTAATTACTAGAAAACAGTATAGTTGGTTGTTTTCTTCTATTACTAGAGTAAAATGTGAGTTAAGTTAATTTAAATTGGATTTTATATTGGGTTCAATGTTGATTCGATTTGAGATGTAAGGATTGTTTTAGACTGGCTTCATGTTTATTAGGTTCAATTTTGGATTCATGTTTAGGTTCTAATTTAGATTCAAATTTAGAATAGATTTTATCAAATCGATCGAACAAGTACAATTCTCGGGTTTGGTTTCATGATCGACAAATAATCAATTTGTCAAAAGGAGTGCAAAATTGCTGAAGTTAATTAAATAAACATTGTGTCAACAAATTTATAGACGGTTTTGATAAGATCTCACATAAATAAATTTTACGTCAAGAGGACTAAGCATAAGATTTGTAACATAAGAAAGGAAATAAATGACTTAAAAAGTCTGTCGAAAGTATGAAGTGATGAAAAAGAAATACTTCGTATCACTATATTAAAATCATAGGTATTTTGTTTTTTAATACTTCAATTTGTTTTTCTTTAGATTCAACACACCCTTTAGCGCGGTAATACTGAATATAATATTTTCATTCCATTCTTACAAAAATAATGTTTCTTCCCTTCCAAAATAATCATTATGTTTCTTCCTCATATATTATACTCAAATATTAATGATTTCATTATTTGATATGTTAAGTTTTTTTTAATTATAGGTAGAATTTTGGTTTCCTTATCTATATCTAATAACTACTTACTCTAACATTATGATGCAACTGATGTTTTATCTTATTAAGCATACAATACAATTTTTTATCTATTAGATATATATACATTAATTTCTTTAGATAAAAAAAAAGCAATTATTATAAACATATTCTCATAACATTTTAAGTATTTACAATAGAAATTATATGGGTTAAAAATTATTCTTTTTACATGGAGTATAATAATTTTTTTCTTCAATATAATACACCACGGGTTTTATCTTACACCACATGCCCAAATTATTACTACGAAAATCTTATTGTGATATTATCCACGCGATAATATGATTTTTTTTAATTATATTTTCACATTTTCAAAGTTGTCAATCATATCTTGAAGAAGGAAAAAAAAAAGTTGTATATATAGATATGGTAGATGGAAGGCTAGCTATATACATATATATATAATATATTGTATATATATAATTATTATTTTTACTTTGTTTGGTGTTTCGTTTCTTATTTATGAAATTGGTGTTTCGTTCCTTATTTTATTTTAGTAAATATTAGAATAAATAAGAATATAAGAGCAAGATTAGCCCTGTCTGGTCTTAAGATTTTAATTAATTGCCACATCATATTTTACATTAAATTTTATTATTTTTTTAATTTTAATTATGTTAAGACTACTTAAGACTCAATCAGATTTATCTCTTCAATCCTAAGACTTATTTTAGATTTCTTTAAAATATTTATTATTTTTTTTTGTCTTTTAACATATATATTTCAATATATATTTTTTCGAAAAACATATACAATTTTAATATGATATAAATATCCACGATGGGGTAACAAATTTCAAACCCAATTTAGATGTCATAGTTGAAAAATAATAGCAAAATGATCAAGCAAAAAAAAAATCAATTATAATGGAACTACATGAATTTAATTGATTTTAAAATGCATGAAATTTTAAAATTACACATATTGCATTAAATAGTTGTAAATGTAAAATAAAAATGACTAATGTAAAATTGATCTGAATTCAAATATCACTTCCCCCAAAACGACTCCACAAATGTTCAACCAAATCATGTTGCAATTGATGTTGTCTTCTCCGATTTCTAAGTCTTCGATTGGTATGTATTTTTTTTTTTTTTTGCAACAAGATAAGTACATAGTTAAAGATAAAATAGAACAAACAATGATTCTTGCATATAAAAAATTAAAACCAACGTATATATCTATATAAAATTTTTGGAAACAACGTACATATATTTTTTTTTAAAACAATGTACATAAAATTATTTCTTTTTTTTTTTAGAAATGTACATAGATTTTAATGTATTTAAGAAATAAAACATTTTTTCATCAAAACACTGTGTTTTGATGTATATATAGGGAAAACACGGTGTATAGTGTGTAGAGTTGAGTCTTAAGTTGAGTCTTGATTTTTCAAGACTCCACTTCAGATTTTGTTAAGACTTGGCTTCTTAAATGCATTAAAAAAACCAAAGTCTTGTCTTAAGATCACAAAATCAAAAAATGATGATGTCACCTTGAGTCTTAAGACTCAGGGCTAATCTTGCTCTAAATATATCGTAGTTAAATTTTTCATGTGGTTTATAATAAATTTTGACAATTTTATTTCTGAAATTGAATACCAATTACTATGTTACAAGCACTAATGATAAATATAATTATAGTGTTACACCAATAATAGTTTGAACAAAATGGAGGAAGTATATATAAATATTTTTGAGGCAATAGCAATATAACACGATTCCGGATTTTCGCTAACTTTGTATAATTTTTAATTTCTGGTATTTTTTTACGATAACAATAAATAATTTATCGAACAATTTTTTAAACGTCCGTTTCCAAATATTTTTCCTATAACATGGTACTAGCACTGTCCCAATGGTCACTTACTCCAATGCTCTAACAAGAATGAAGGTCAAGAGTTCGATCCCTACCAACCCATCGAATTATTTTTCCTTTATATGGTACTTGAATTTCGCAAAATACTTTCCAAAATACATTTTTTCCTACTTTCTTAAAAATTCGAAGATGACATTAGATATGTTATGTTAAATTTTTTTTTTTAGTAAATTTTGTTTTTAACTTTTTGGCCCATTTTAAAATAATGTTACTAGATATGTATAAATATTTCGGGGACAATGTAACATGGTGCTAGCACTGTCCCAATGGTCACTTGCTCCAATACTTTGAAGAAATCTAACAAGCTTAAAGGTCTAAGGTTCGAATCCTCCCACCTCCCCCAAACCCCTGTATTTTTTTTTTACCCTTTTTTTTACTTATGATACACAAATTTTCCAAATAAATTCCCAAATTAAATATTTGCTTTATCTTTTCTAACTTCGTAGAACACAATAAATAATATTAGAGTACTTAATTTATTTTCTTTTTTTATTTTTTTTTTTAAAAAAACTTAACGGGAGTATGTACTCAGTAGTATTTTAATTTATCATCCAACACTTCGCGTTTTAGATTTCCCAACATTACAAGGAATCTAAATTATCACCTCCCCCAAACCCCTGTATTTTTTTTTACCCTTTTTTTTACTTATGATACACAAATTTTCCAAATAAATTCCCAAATTAAATATTTGCTTTATTTTTTCTAACTTCGTAGAACACAATAAATAATATTAGAGTACTTAATTTATTTTCTTTTTTTTATTTTTTTTTAAAAAAACTTAACGGGAGTATGTACTCAGTAGTATTTTAATTTATCATCCAACACTTCGCGTTTTAGATTTCCCAACATTACAAGGAATCTAAATTACCACCGCACTTTTTAGATCTTAACATGGTCAATCCGATCTTCTCCGATCCGAAAATCCAAATTTACATTAAAAAAAAAAAAAAAACCAATCTGATTGATCGACTAAGTAACCCCCCTCACATTAAAATCTGATCGAGTAATCATTGCCCTCATGAGTAACCCTTGTCAATGTAACTTTTGGCAAATTAAACTCTGATGGATCGAATATCCCCTATAACCAGCAAGTTAATGGATATTCTATTAACTCGGATTGGGTCGAATTAGGGTCAATTTCAGGTTCGAATCCTCCCACCTCCCCCAAACCCCTGTATTTTTTTTACCCTTTTTTTTACTTATGGTACACGAATTTTCCAAATAAATTCCCAAATTAAATATTTGCTTTATTTTTTCTAACTTCGTAGAACACAATAAATAATATTAGAGTACTTAATTTATTTTCTTTTTTTATTTTTTTATAAAAAACTTAACGGGAGTATGTACTCAGTAGTATTTTTATTTATCATCCAACACTTCGCGTTTTAGATTTCCCAACATTACAAGGAATCTAAATTATCACCGCACTTTTTAGATCTTAACATGGTCAATCCGATCTTCTCCGATCCGAAAATCCAAATTTACATTAAAAAAAAAAAAAACCAATCCGATTGATCGACTAAGTAACCCCCCTCACATTAAAATCTGATCGAGTAATCATTGCCCTCATGAGTAACCCTTGTCAATGTAACTTTTGGCAAATTAAACTCTGATGGATCGAATATCCCCTATAACCAGCAAGTTAATGGATATTCTATTAACTCGGATTGGGTCGAATTAGGGTCAATTTCAATTCAATTCCTCTATGTTCGCTGAATGTTGGTCGAGTTGACCAAGTTCATATCCAAATAAGGCAGTTTTTAAACCAGAGTTATTATTGCGATTTTACCTTATCATTGGGTTAATATAGAGTTGAAACATAATTTTTTTCCGCTAGGTTATTCTATACGATATATGAAGTTTTAATTTTCTAATTTGATCGGGTCATGTGTAATTTTATCAGAAAAAATAGAAATATAATAATAATCGATGACTTATCATACCTACTCCGTATATTAGTGTGACGTTAAATAATGAGGTACTGATATATTGACAAACGATTGTTGTATATGGTGGTTTATAGGCCACTGATTTTAAGTCGATAATTAATTATATATGGTGGGTTAAATTCGGATCGGGTTTAAATCAACTTGATTTAAATAGAGTCGCGGGTTTATATAAGTTCGGGTCAAAACAACTCGGATGGTAAGCTTCAAAATGACTTGGCACTATTCATCCTGAATTGAAAAGCACCTTATAAAATGCAAATAAGGGGTAAATTTGGCCACGTGGACCAATGGTAAGCAAGGTAAAAGTTATTATAGCTTTTTACTCGTAGTAAATGTTCTACTTATTAAGGGTTAACCTTGGTTAAAGTTCACTGTGGTTATTTACGTGGGGAAGCGCGTAAATTGATTATATTAATTTAACTCAGAACATTTTAAAATATCATTTCTCCCAAAAAAGTTGAGCACCCTTTCATTTCCTCATTTCTTCAACAAATACACTCCTATTTCGACGCTTCAAGGAAAGGCGATTAAGCATTTGCTAGGCTCTTTTCGAATTAATTTCTACAAATTTGCGAGGTAAATCATCTACTCAGTTCTTGTTGGTTTTTTTTTCGAATTTGTTGTCAAAATTTATATGAGTGTTGTTTGGGATTACTCGTTCTTTGATGATGACATGAATTTTGTTTTGAAATTTGTTGATTTTGGTTGTTACATAGGTTGTTAGTTTCTGTTTGATGCTTAGTTGATACAAATTAAAGTGAATTATCACTCTTGTTTTGGGGTTTTCTGATGTCCTGCGGGAGAGCTACAATTCCGAGACTGGAACCGGACGCCTGTACCTGCAAAATAACGGAGACTCCTGAGAGCTCCGCCTCCAACGGTCAAGTTAGTACCTGACTAAGGAGTAATTAATACAGAAATTAAAGTAATAAGGTCTCTCTAGGTGAGAGTATTTAATGTAGGTGATCTGCTTTGCTAGCGAGATCAGCCGGTTATTAGTGTGTTCCGTAATGTTTCTCCTCCGTTCCGTTAATTATTCGGTCCCCTGATTAATGAGGATTAATCGAGTATTTATAGCCTTGGGAAGCGTGCAACTCTCTAGGTTTAAGGTAAACCTAGGGCCGATCGGGCTTCTAGACTGAAATGGGCCTTGATGGCCGGTTGTCCCATTTGGCATGGGTGGACACGTGGCGTGTCTTAAGTGGTCCGTGGAGGACGCGTGGCGGAACCTGGTTGGTCCACTTGTCAAACGGCGCTTGGTGGATAAAAATCCCCTAATCATTTGCCCCTCACAGGTGGCACGCGACTGGTCACGTGTCGCCTGTGACAGGCGTCGCACGGTGACAGGCGATGGCCCGTTACAGGTGTCACCTTGCAGACGGCCGGGAGACTCTCCCGCCCAAATTTGAATTCGGAAGCGACCCTTCGCCTTCTCATTTTGCCTATAAAAGGAAGTGCTGACTTCGGTCATTTTCACATTTGAGAATTTTTGCGAGAACATTCGGACCCCTGAACTTGCTCTGACATTTTCGGACTTTTTCTGCCTACCGCCTGTTCTGACAAGCCGACTGACCCGAACTTTCAGGACTTCATCAACTGTCATCCGTTCAGGTAACTCAGTTCTCTTACTCTTAATTTTCTTTTTATTTTTTGAAATGGCACCATGGAAGCACACGACACGCCCTAAGTTAGTGATCAGCCGGTCACCGGGGACGGCTGAATCTAGGACTAGGAGTGCCGCCTGCCCTTTTCTGGACCCATCTTTGCCCTTTATACAAAGTCCGACTGAATCTGTGTCTATGCAGAACGTGATGGCCAGAACAAAAAAGACTGCTAGAATATCAAACTCAGACGGCTCCTCCCAAAGGGTACTCCTTAGCGAAACATCTGACCAGGCGCCAGATGTGGAACGAGGCGACTGTCAAGCTGACAGTTCTGAGAGAGGGACCAAGGTGTTCCCTTCTCATCTAACCGTGGACATGTCTAATTTACCTTCTGCTCCTTCTAAGGGAGAGGAGGCGGGCCCCTCTAGGAGAGGGGAGGCGTCGTCCTCTTCGGACTCGTCAGGGGACGAGTCCGATTCCAACTCTTCTGACCATAGTTCTTCTGACCATAGTTCTTCTGACTCAGAAGAAAAACATAACCGCCTACAAGAGGCGAGAAGTTCCCATGCAGTGGAGAAGGGGGATAATTGGGCAGAGCCGTCCGCCTCTTACAGAGAGGAAAACACCCCCTACTACTGCAGGGTGCCCCGGGGCCGGATCGCAACCATGCGAGACAACGTGGCGAGCTTTATTGCTAACCACAAAATGGGCCCGGAGTATTTACTGTTTGTGCCGGATCCAGAAGATACTGTCGTCTGGCCGGCTGGTACCAGCTATGGTGACGGCTGTTTTGGCTGCTATGTGGCGGCCATCAAAGCTGGTCTGCGCTTCCCATTACATCCGGCTGTTCAGCGGATTTTAGATGGGTATGATCTGGGGTTATGGCAGTTAGCCCCCAACTCTTGGGTAAACGTACTCGGCTATGTGGCCGGGTGCGAACTGAACGGGGTGGAGCCAAGTTTTGAGGCTTTCGCCCACATGAACTATCTCAGCCGGACCCCTAAGTCGGGAGGTACCGGCTGGTATCAACTAACAAGCCACAGGGGTTACCTCATGACGAGAGGTAAGGCAAACAAATGGAAGGATTGGCGGAACACCTTCCTTATTATCGAGAGTTCAGACACGGAGCTGAACAAACGTTTTAACAAGTGGAACAGGGATCCGCCTCTTCTTGCAGGCGGCCGCAGCATGCCGCCTGTTCCCCCAAAGGCTAAAAGAGAGATCCTAGACAAAGGACTCTTCAAAGTAGAGACTAGGGTGAACTCTACTTCAGGGGTACGAGAGCAAGTACCCCTACACTGCGTCCCGAGCTTCAAGTGGCTCTATGATGAGTACTTCTTGGCCGCCTGTGGCCTCGGCAGTCGGTGCTCTAGAGGTAGCCGGCCTGACGAATACTCTGTTTTCTCACGCCTTGTTTACTTGGGATTTTTACTAACTTTGCTGTTTATTTCTTTCAGCCGACGCCATGAGTAAAATAACAGCATCTAAGACTGCGGCGGCCATGCTGCGGGTTTCGCTAATGAAGCAGTCGTACGCCGACTCCCCCAGCAAGGAGGCACCCTTGGTAAGCTTTGAAAACTCTTCCCCTTTAAGTTGTATTATGCATATACTAACTCTTTTTGTTTTCAGTCTGGCACTCCAAGGGCTTCTTCCTCGCAACAGCCGGACCCCAAGGCCCGGAGAACGACTGTTGCATGCTCTCCTGGGTCTTCCAGGAAAACAGTGGCGGCTGAGAAGCAGCCGGCCACTTCTTCAAAAACCCAGGCGGGGCCGCCTAGATGTATGGACACTTGCTTGTAAAAACTCACTCTTGCTTCCTTCTTGATTAGGTCTAACTTGTTTTTCCTTCTGCTTAATGCAGCCGGCCCCCAGGGACTTGACTTGGTTGAGGTAGCCAAGTCAATGGTTAAAGTAGTTCCTCCCTCTGACAGGGAGGCGGTCAAGGGTGCCGGCACCCTTGACCTCGATGGAATTTCGGGGATCCTAGCTGAGGTATACCCTTTTGAAGTTCCAGGACGCCTGTTAACCCTTATGATTGGAAACTGACGCCTGTTTTTCTTTGTACTTAGGCCCTGCTCCGAGTCAACAGCCTTCGCAAGCCGATTGATCGGAAAAACAAAGAGGTAAAGGCCGCAAAGGCTATGGCCGCCTCCAGCTGTGATAAAGCAATGTTTCAAATTGCCCAAAATGAAGTACTGACCATTGATCTTCTTTATTATCAGGCGCAGGCGACCGCCGCTGTTCGGGCTCAGCTAGAGGCGGCCCAAAAGAAGGTTGACGAGCTGGAGGGGACCGTCACCAAATTTAAAGCCGAGCTGAAACCCCTTCGCCAGAAAATGCACTCTTACGAAGCCATGGAGAAATCTTTGGCTAACGTAAAAGAACGCCTGGTGAACCAGGAGAAGAGTCTTACCCAAGAGCTCTCGGACAAGGCCGAGCAAGAAAAACAAGAGCTCGTCCGGGAGATGGTGGAAGACTCCGCCCAAATCCAACGCATGACCTGGGAACGACTGTTCCCCAGTGCCGACTTTGCCTCATGGGAAAGAACGTACCGCCAGTGTTCGGAAATATATAATCAACAGATCCTGGCGGCTGCTGAAGAGGAGGCGATGGACGTTGCGTTGGAGGAGGAAGAGCCTGTTGTGGCGCTTGTGCCACTTGGGGGAAAGGCATCAAAAGATGATGCAGCGAAGGCCGAGTCCAGCAAGAAGAGTGCTGACCAGGCGGCTGCTGCTGATACTGAACTGCCCCCTTCTTAAGCTTTAAGTATGTTTTTTTTTTTTTTTTTTTTTTCACGGCCTGCGTGCCGTTTGCTTTGTAATTACCCGGCCAGGGGGCCGGGGTTTTGAATATTCTGCTGGTCTTTTATGGCCGGCTCATTTTAATCAAATTTTTTGTTTTTGTTCAAATTTGTCTAAGTATTTGAAATTTGCTCACTAGACAGACTGTTGTGCATGGCCGAACGTTAAGACAGGTACAAATAGTAAGTATGCCGCCTATGCCCCTGGACGACTGGTTGTCTGTTTCCAGGATAGATGATCAGTCGGCCATTTAATCAATCGGTATTCGAACTCTTTATTCAATTTGACCAAGTAAATAGAATTACCAAGTAGCCAAGG